GGAAAGAGAGCACCTCTTAATATCGACAAAAGGTGCCGTTGTATTAGATATGTTGCTAAATGCTAATTAACTAATTAAGGTTGAAATTAGTCATGATGGTTAATTAATTACATTTAATTAACAAAATTTCTGTGCAGGTATGTGATGCTTCGTGATTCGTCGGGATTCTATTCTTACGCCATTTTTGAGCACTTAGTGGAATGGCCTGCTTTCAACATACCTCAAATAAGGATTGTTTACAAGCTTCGTAAAGACATGTATGTATGGAGTAACTAATTAACCTTGTTTTAGTTATATTTGATTTGATAAATTAGGTTGGTGATTAATTTGAAGAGGGCAATTATTGATTTATGTAGATTTGATTACATGGTGGTGTCGGATAATAGACAAAGATTTATGCCTCTTCCGGATGATAGATTACCGGGAAGAGGAAAAGAACTAGTTCCACCTGAGGCAGTTTTGCTCGTCAATCCTGTGGAGCCAGAATTTAAGGGAGAGGTACATTTTCTTTATTTAATTTTATAATAATTTCACGTTTTTTTATTTTTTTATTTCTATGTTTCTCTCCCTTTTATTTCTTATATTAAAAAAAAGCTTTATTTAAATTTGGTTCTTATTTTTGAAATATTTTTGTTTTAGTTTCTAAATGGATAAATAAATAAACTCTACATTTTGATCCTTACATGACAAATTATTTACAAATTAATCTCAACCATTTATTAAAGTTATAATGGTGAGAGTGTTAGATTTTCTTCTTATATATATAGGACCAAAACAAAACAAAAAATATATATTAAATGTAGGGACTAAAATGTAAAAAAAAATACGAAAGGATTAAAACAAGAAATAATGTCAAGTATAAGGATCAAAGCTGGTATTGTTATAACTTAAGCAAATGGTAGGAATCAATGCGTAATATTTTTTTGTCGGACTAAATTAGAGTTTTTTTTTTTATATAGGACTAAACAAAAAAAAAAACGGAAGGACCATGTTTATAGTTTAACTTTCTAAAACTGATATACACATCTATCATTTAAAAAAAATTATAAAAAAAAAAAAAGCTACATAATTGGTTAGACTTAAACTAAACTATAGTGAAAAGTACACCAAAAAAAGTTACAAGAAAGAAATTCTAAAATTATGTGTGAGGAGATATTTAGAAAATATGACGTAATAATGGCTTTAAAGGATAAAGAATACATGCAATCGTTATTTCGTTAATTTGACTCAACGGTTTAAATTGTGGTAAAAGTCAAGTAATTTAGAAGTAGTTATAATTTTGATGATTAATTTTCTAATTAATAATTATTAATATGCGTTATTATTTAAAGTGCACTTCCATTTAAATGAGTGGAGTACTCTATAACATTATTTGTGGTTAATGAAGTTTATTATTGAGTGATTAATTTAAGGTGGATGACAAGTACCAATACTCGAGTGAGAACAAAGATCTTAAGGTTCATGGGTGGATAAGTTCCCAATCCGAAACAGATCCAGCCATGGGATTTTGGGTAATCATACCCAGTAATGAGTTCCGATCGGGTGGCCCAGTTAAACAGAACCTTACTTCCCACGTAGGCCCAATAAGCCTCGCGGTAAGTTTTCTTCTTCTTTTTTTTTTTTTAAGCTAAAGCATGAACTCACCTTGCTCGGTCGTACTCGTACCCATTAATATTAGTTCTTAATTTAATTTTTAAAAAAATATTATATTTATTCTTATTGATCAGCCAATTAAATAGAAATAGGTTGCAATGTTGTTGTACGTTTCAGATGTTTCTTAGTGCTCACTACGCAGGAGAGGATATAGTTTTGAAACTCCAGCCTAACGAGCCGTGGAAGAAAGTTTTTGGACCAACTTTTGTTTATCTCAACACTTTGTTAGATGCTGATGACCCAGTACAGCTCTGGGAGGACGCTAAAAACCAGGTTTCAATTTCATTATATGCACATATTTTATTTCATGTAGGGAAATTATATTATAATAATAAACACAAAATGGCTTGTAGATGGAGGAGGAGGTTGAGAGTTGGCCCTATGATTTTCCAGCTTCAGAAGATTTTCAAAAGTCTAGCCAACGGGGCAGTGTGTGTGGCACATTACTAGTTCGAGACAGGTAACACCAAAGTCCTAATAGGAGAATTATAATGAGAACATATTTAAGTAAATAATATTTTGTAAAATTAAGACCAAAATAAAGTCGATGTTTAAAATAGCTAATGCTTTCAAAATGACAAGTTTTAAGGTATCTAAGTGATGAGTACATAATAGCACGAGATGCATATGTGGGAGTGGCACCACCAGGAGAAGCTGGATCTTGGCAAAGAGAATGCAAGGTTTAAACTATAGAACCATATACTACTACTTGTGAACCAACCCAAAATTTGAGCTCTATTAACACTCGAAGATTTATTTGTTTGGTCACTCAGGGATACCAGTTTTGGAGTAGAGCAAACGAAGAAGGGTACTTCTCAATCAACAATATACGCAGTTTATATAGGCTTAAATATATTTTTAGTACCTCAAATTTAAGATAAATATGTTTTTAGTCCTTCAAATTTAAAATTGTTATTTTTAGTCCTTATAATTTCAAAAAATCTTATTTTAGTCCTTATATTCAAATTTTGTTAAGACATTTATCAAATATTATTGCATAAAATCTACCAACTGGTATTTCTATTAGTGAAAATATCATATTAAATTTGATTGATATTGCATAACTATCTTAATTAGTCACTTTCAAATATGCTATTGGTGACCTAAGGGACTAAAACAAGATTTTTGAAAATTACAAGAACTAAAAATAGCAGTTTTAAATTTGAGGGACCAAAAACAAATTTATCTTAAATTTGAGGGACTAAATACATATTTAAGCCTATTATATATAATAACAAAAGAAAAGGATGATACATGAAATTCATTTTTAAACACTTCAATACTTATTATTTATTTCTATCTTTTTCCCTATTCTGTATTACAAAAATAATTTTTAAACACCAAAAACCTATTTTGACACTTGATAAGTGAGCTAGAAGAGAGAAAATAAAATCTATTCCTATATTATTTTATATTTATATTTCTATAAAATAAATAAAAATAATACCATTTTTAGTAATCATTTTTTGTGTTTAATTTTATGTGAACATATTTGCTCCTATTTTTATTTTATTTTTTAAATTATTCATAAATAACTGTTTTATTTTTATAATTGTCCAAATCTTTTTCAGTTATTAATCACTTGCTCATTCAACTTTAGTTATTTTTCTTATTTTCTTCTTTACACTAGATATATATATATATATAAATATTTTGATATTTATTTTGATTTTTCAATTCTTATTAAACCATTCACAGTCAAGATAAAAAAAAAAAGCTAAAAAAATCAAGATATTTTTTTATGACAGATTATACAAACATTTCTCTTTTTCTCCCTAAATCAATCTCATTTATTTTTCTTTTCACTTTCTTTCCTTAACCAAATATTATTAAGAGTTAATCATCCATACACTGCTAGTAAAAATTTTTATACTGGCAACCAATCATATTTTTTAAATTATTTTATTTTATTTTTATTTCATTAAATGAGCAACTGACATGACACTATTAAAAGATATGATTGATTGCTAGTATAAAATTTTTTTATACTAGCAGTGTATAAGTAATTAACTCTATTATTAATTTTATTTAGACTAAAGAGATCGAAGCACTTCGTACTTTTAATAATTATATAGAGATAAAAAGTTAGAATATTGTTTGTAATTATTCAAAAGAAATATAACTTTTTATTTATAGTCCTTCAAATTTAAAATTGTTATTTTTAGTCCTTATAATTTCAAAAAATCTTATTTTAGTCCTTATATTCAAATTTTGTTAAGACATTTATCAAATATTATTGCATAAAATCTACCAACTGGTATTTCTATTAGTGAAAATATCATATTAAATTTGATTGATATTGCATAACTATCTTAATTAGTCACTTTCAAATATGCTATTGGTGACCTAAGGGACTAAAACAAGATTTTTGAAAATTACAAGAACTAAAAATAGCAATGATGTCACCCCTGAATGTTCTTCTAAAACAAACTAGTTCTAGAGTCTACACTCTACAAACATTATCATTAATTTATGTTTATCATAATTTTAAAATCGTACATATATGCATTAATACACACATCTAAGGATTTAGTGATGTTATATTACTTGTTTATACTTCAGTCCTTGTTAATGCAATATGCAGGTTGTGAAATAGATGTTGGTGAAATTATTTATGAGCCACCAAGAGATGGCCCAACATTATGGGAGATAGGAATTCCTGATCGCTCTGCTAATGGATTCTATGTTCCTGATCCTAATCCCAACTTCATAAACAAGCTTTTTGTCGACCATCCAGACAAGTCAGCTTCTATTTACATTAATAACAAACTGAATCTCAATTCTCAAATCTCAAATATTCAATGATTTTAGCTTTGTGCTCCCACCAAAGCACCATTATTTATCAACTCTCGTTTGTTGACAGGTTTAGGCAGTATGGATTGTGGGAAAGATATGCGGAGTTGTACCCAAATGAGGATTTAATCTATACAGTGGGTGCCAGTGACTACACAAAAGATTGGTTCTTTGCACAAGTCACCAGGTACACTCCTACATTTTATATTGCCTTATTTAAAATAAAAGCACCTATATTAATTATCCATGAAAGATGACATTAGTGCATGAAATACAGGAAGCAAGAGGATGGCAGTTACAAAGGAACTACATGGCGAATTAAGTTCAACCTCGATGAAGTGGAGCCAAGTAAAATCTACAAATTACGGTTGGCACTTGCAAGTGCAAATGTCTCTGAGTTACAGGTTTGGAATCCCACCTAAATATAAGATTTGTTTGGATAAATTACCTTACAAATACTCCTAATCAAAAGAAATAATAAGAAGGAATCCATAAGTTAAAAATAACTTATGTATAAACAATTTGTTTTAATCCATGAGAAATATTACGTGACGAAGATAGAAAATAAGTCCTCCTCCCACTTCTACCCCAACTCCTTATAGACCAACCGTAGTGGTTTTTATAAGCTCATTTGTAAAATAACTTTCATATTAACTTCTTCAAAAAAATATTTTTAATTTATACATATGCTAGTTTTAGTTTATGAAATAACTTATTTTATTTTTTTCCATTTATAATGTTTATGAAAAAGTTTATTCAAACAAACTCCATAATTCAACCTAGCTGTGATGAATTTGTTGTGTTTTCATTTTCTATTCTATTCCTCTTCTCATCTGTGATGTTTTTGGTTTGGAATTTAATTAAAGGTGAGAGTGAATGATCCAAAACAAGATCCTCCATTGTTTACAACAGGAGTGATTGGGAAGGACAATGCCATAGCTAGACATGGAATTCATGGACTCCACTGGCTATTCAGCATCGACATACCTGCTCTTCTGCTACAGAATGGTGTTAACACTATATTTCTTACACAAACTATGGCTTCTGGTCCATTGCCCCTCTTCCAGGGCATAATGTACGACTATATTCGTCTAGAAGGTCCTACCCCTTTTCCTCCCATATAAAAATATTAAATTAGTTTATTCAAAATGACCTTGTTCCTACCTACAATAGTACAACACCTTTTACAATTACATATCTTTCATATTGTTTGCCTATATTGTATATGAAGATATTAGACATTGCACTTAACTTGATTACAAATTGCATACATTACAATGAGGACACGATGTTCCATTTTACAATCAAATGGAACAAAGATCACATATCTTTTATGGAAGGGTTTGTACTGCAGCTTTTTGTTTGCCAACTGGTTACAAAGATCACATGATGTTCCAATCAAATGGGTTTGATGGATTACTTCTATTGTGGAAAGGGTTCATGTTTTGTTTGTCCATGACAATTGACAAGTGCTCTTATGAAATAGCCGAGTGTTTCGGTTCGGCCATCCTTGACCTTCGAAAATTAAATAGAAACTAAAACTAAACCATAAAAGTTATATATGAGAAATTAATTAACAATATTTCATTCATGTGCAACAAACGAGATATATTGGAGCTACTAAAAGACATTTCTGTTTCCTACTTTCCCTTATGCATCGGTAGCAGAAAAAAAAAAGGCAAAGAACTAGGTAGTAATTAACTAGTGAAAAGCTAAAATTTACTCAGATTTATTGAGTCTATTCTTGAAATCTTCAGCAGCATCCGCAGCCTCAACCTGCATCTTGGTAGCCTCAAGTTCACCTGCACTTGCTTCCTTCTCATTTCTTGCAGTAATAATCTTTACCTGATTTTCAACACACAAAAGTTAAAAAAAAAAGTCAATTTGCTTGGAAAAATAATAATATTAATTGAAATCACCGCAACCCCAAAAATTTTTTTTAAAAAAATAGGCATGTTTGGATTTCGAACCTGACCCACAAAAAAGGCTTTTACATATCGAAAGCCTTCCTGAATAGAAGCTGCAAAAGATAAACAACTCTTCCTCAAACGAGACACTAACGAGGTGTTCTTATGATTTAATGACAAAGTGCTTGAAGAAGAAGAATCCATGTCTGCCATTGCTACTTGATATATTTTTTCATGAAGAAAGAATGATAATCTTCCTTGTCAAATTCAGTGTTTGGAAAGACTAAAGAGACATTAGTAGTAGAAGTATCTTTACATTCAAACTGAACCAATTTTCTTTTTTAAGAAACAAAATGAGAAGAGTTAGGCTTGCACGTTTCTGGAATATATCTTCTTTCATTACGTGGCAGCTATATGAACTATCCGCGTTACTTACCATGATAGTCATCCCTCTGTGATTCATTCATAATTTGGCATGTGTCTATGAGGTATTTTATTTTTATCAAGAGATAATTGAAGTGAATTGTATTTCTTTTCACTAAAATTTTTCATAGGCACATGATTAGATATCAAATTTCTGTTAACTAAGAAATTCAACTAGATAATCAAATTTCTGTTGACATAAGTTAAGAAATTCAACTGTTTACAAACTTTGTCAGAGCTTGTGTTGTTAGTACGTGTTTGTGAGGTATGATCCTCGAGAGTGGAGACTATCATTGTCTATATGTGATTTATATTTGCTTAAATGCAAGCAACAATTGTGTCTTTCACATGTGATTTATGTTGGATATTTCTATATTTTATGAATAAATTTGTTATAAAATTTACTGTACATTTTTTAATTCAACGCAAACCATGTTATTATTTTAATTAAATTAAAATCTTATAATTCATTTATTTAATAAAAAAATATTTTATATTTTTATAACATTAAGTTTAAGTCTGATCAAAATTAATTCTCACTGTTCCTACTATAAAACTAAAGTAAACACATATCATATATTTCATTTCAAATACGTATTAAAATAATATTTATTAATAAAAATTGTGTTATGAACATAAATTTATCTTTAATCATTACTTTTAAGATATTGCATCAATTATGTACATAAAAAAATAATAATAACAAAACATGCATCATAACGAATAAGGGGATTCATTTTGTCAAGAATAGTAGTTTTTTGTTTGGTATTCTATCCTGCT